GGCTCAACTCCATTCAGACACAGCAACTAACACCTTTTAGTAGGTTTCCATAGTATGTTTTGTAAAGCACTGATACAAGCAAGTTTTGTGAATAACTACTAACTCTACTAGGCATGTTTACATGTATCTCTAACTGCCATTAAGCATAATGTGTCACAAATAATAACTGTTACCAATTCAATTCTAAAAGTTGCATTACTATAGCTGCCACTGCAATGCTGTATCTAGCAGGTCAATGTGTTATTTGGATAAGGTTTTGTAGTGAGGCATTTAAAGCTCAGTATTCTATTCAAGAAAGAGGTTTCAACAGTAATGACTACAGTGTATAGTTAACCTACTTGTGAAATACACTTCCAATACATAGCTATTCACCCAGAAGAAAAAGCTCCATTCAATCAAGTGCTTAAAATGTTTTTAAAAAGTGGATCTGTAACAATTCACTACAGGAGCAACACTGACAGTGTCCATCACAGCTCCAGAATTTTTATAGAACCCTAGAATGGTTTGGGTTGGAAGGGACCTTGAAGCTCATCCAGTTCCAACTCCCTGCCATGGGCAGGGACACCTTCCACTAGACCAGGTTGCTCCAAACCTGTCCAACCTGGCCTTGAACACTGCCAGGGATGGGGCAGCCACAGCTCCTCTGGGGCAACCTGTGCTAGGACCTCACCACCTTCACAGGGAAGAATTTCTTCCCAATATCTAATCTAAATCTCCCCTCTGTCACTTTAAAACCACTCCCTTTGCCCTATTCCTACATGCCCTTGTAAAAAGTCTACTTAAGCTCCATGAGAGATATTCACAAAATTGGTGGGGTAGGAAGAACAAAAACAAAGAATAAATCAGAGAGTTCTACATATCAGACTGAGCAACCCCAGCCTCACCTTCATGTTCTTTTACCAAGTTCACAGCTGGCCCAGAGGAGGACATCGCCTAGCACTCCTCAGCAAGGTGAACACTAAGAAATTAGGAGAAAACCCATTCCTTTCACAGGGCTGCCAGCCGCTAAGCTGCCACAGGAGCAGCACCAACAGCCTCCGCTACCAAAGGTGGCAGTTAGAGCAAGGGGCACACGCCGAACATTCAGCACCTCCCCGCCGCGACTGCGGGACCCGCATCGCTATACGAAGGAGCCCCTGCGGCTGCCGAACGGGCGGGCAGCGCGGACCCCAAGCCACCAGGGGGTTCGGACCTACCTTGTGCCGCAAGCTAAAGGCACGGCTTCAGAGTAAGCCCGCCGCCTGCGCGCTGCTCGCCAGGTGCCTGAACGCCGCGGGGCGCGGTACCAGGCGGGCGCGCCCCCCCAGCGGGCACCCCATGCCGCCATGCCCCGGGGCAGCGGGACGCGCCCGTTATCGCGGCCCCACACGGTCGCTGTGCCCCGGGGCGCTCCGCCCCTCCCGCAGCCGAAGGAACGCCCTGAGCCCCGCTCTCTGCCGCGCCGTGCGGCAGGACCCGAGCTTCCAGCACCGCCCCCAGCCCCGTCCCGCTCACCCGCTGGCGGCGGCCCGCCCGCCGGGCAGGTATTTGAGGGAGATCTCCATGGGGCCGCGGGGCTCGGCCGCTGCCCAGGCGGGGCTCCCAGCAGCCCGCAGCGGACGGGGAGAGCCGGCGCCACGACCGAAGCGGACTGGGCCGAGCGGCCCGGTCCCGCCAGCGAGCCCCACGGCTCACCCAGCCGGCAGCGCCGGCTTTATGGGGCCCGGGCGGAGGAGGGCGCCCGCTGCACACGTGCCCGCCCGGCTGCAGCAGGTGGAGCTGCCGCGGCTCTGCCCTCGGCTGAGGGACCGGCGCTGAGACGCTTGCTACGGGATACAGCGTGCGGGGCAGATTGTCACGTTGGGTTGGGTTGGGTTAGGTTAGGTTAGGTACTGCAGAGCAAGTCGTTCTGCAGTTGAAAAGGTGCTTTGTTCTGCCGAGGATGTGGTTTAAAGTAGTTACTACAAACCAGGGTGTTTAAAAAAAAAACAACCTAGGGTGTTCTGGGACTCTTTTCAGTGGTGCCCAACAATGGCACAGGATGAGAAGCAATGGCCATTAAACTAAAATGGAAGAAGTTTTACCTCAACTTGAGGAAGAACTTTATGTTGAGGGTGGCAGTGCACTGGAACAGGCTGCCCAGGGACATTGTGCAGTCTTCCCCTCTGGAGACATTAAAACCCCGCCTGGATGTGTTTCTGTGTAACCTGCTCTAGGTGGGCCTGCCTTGGCAGACTAGATGATCTCCAGAGGTCCCTTCCAGCCCTAACAATTCTGTGAATCGGTGTGAAAACAGAATACAGACTCAGAAGAGGCTTCATCGCAGCAACTGTGAGTTCTGCCTGCCCACGCAGTAGGGATGGGCAGCATGTGGCTCTTCAGTAATACTAAGATGATGCTGTGTTTGGTTACAATCACACTGTTTAAGGGAGAAGCAGGAGCAAAAGCCCGGACAAACATCTGTATGCAGTTACTGAAAATTAGCTGCAAGAGCATTATGGCAGCTATTGCATGGGAGGTTGTTTTTTTTAAGGCTTCCACTGAAGCAGAATCTTCAGGCAAGATGATGGTCGCAACATATGCAGTCACAGGTTTGGTCTTTTACGGTAGCATGTGTTTTCTCCCCATCTGCCAGACATAACTTACACCTTTACACATTTTCTTTTAAATTGGAAAGATATGAATGTATATGGATTTGGTTTCTTCCTCTTTTGCGTGCATACTTTTTACCTTCCCTTGAGAATATGCTTCTACCCATCATGGAAACTGGCACTTAAAAACAAGTATGGCCCCCACCTCTCTCTTCCCCTCTGCGTAACTCCATTCTGTTACGATCTCTGAGCTCTGCTTGAAAACAAGCTCTCGCTGCTGGAGCATGAAATGACATTGAAATGAGCCTTGGTAGGAAGCAGCTTTTACCCAGGTTTAGCACTCTGCAACTTATTTTCATGAGGAAATACTCACTGTCAGTATTGTTTGACCAACTCTTTCCACAGGCAGTGAGAGCTAAAACAAAGGAACTCTCTTACCCCTCCAAAACTTCTTGGACAATACCAAGAGCCTTGTTTTCCTTAGAATTGCAGTTTTAAGCATAATGAATTTTATCTGAAGGTTTATCTGCTTCTTTGCTCTCCCCATCTGCATTTTACAGTTATATCTATGCCTGCTTGATTGTATCAGCATAAAGATACCAATGTCTCCAGGATGCAGTTTTACATGTATTACTAGCTTTACTAATATTGAGATTACTGATACTGTTGAAGTCACAAGGGTTTCTTTTAGAATAAGATCTTGTCTCTGCAAGGCCATTACAAGCACATCATATATTGACATGAAGTAAAAGCCCCACCACACAGAGAACAGCAGCAGCCACAGATCTCGGGCAGAGCTGCTCCTCATCTCAAATGCAGCCAGTAGGCTAGAAAACAGAGCATTGACTGGCTTCTTCTCAGCTGGGTGCAATACTTGAGCAGATGAAGATCCTGAACACCATGGATCAAGGCCAGAAACCCGGACAGCAAGCACTTAAACTGCCAGCAGCACTACAAGGTGAACCATACATGCTTGAGTGTCTGGTTTTCTTAAACAAAAATCAGATAGATATGAGATACGTAAGACAAGCAGTATTTATTTTTTGCAGTCATGACTGGACATTTTGAGGAGGTGTAAGCCAGTAACCTTTCAGGGAACTGTTCTTTCTTTCATGTAACAGCCTACAACTGTTGCTGTGCTATCTTGGTAAGCAGTTGTCCCTTCTTTTCCTCCCACCCTATCTGATCCTTTGCTTTACACATCCTTCTACTCCTTTTACTTAGCCCTCCCCTCTGGCTTCATACTGTGATCCTGCCATAACTATTCGAAGGCAAGTCACCATTCATCAACCTTTTCCTCCCCAAACCCACACAGCTGCGAGCAATGCTAAATTAGAAGCTGTGTGCTCCAGCAGGAGTAGCAGAGCGTGGTTTTCCATTGAATTTCTGTGTCTCAGTTGATTGACTTTTTAGCTGTAGCCCAAGCACAGGTCATTACTTAAAGACTCTAACAGAGATTTAACTGCAAAACAAGCTTCACAATGAAGTTTGTCTTTCAGGCAACAGAAACCAGTCTTCAGTGGAAGATTCCTCCTATTAGGAGTTGAATGAATCTCTATACAGTATCTTTTCCTGCTTTTGGAAACATGACTTCTCCCTGCTTCTGTAAAGCTGTATAGGAATCTGATATTTTAGAGTTCTGTCAAGTGTTGTTGAAATTTGTTGCCAATTTCGTAAGTTAACAGTGACAAGCATACACTCTGCCCCACTTCTGAATGAAATCAGACTACTACTTGCCTTGTAACTGTATTTACAAAGAAGTCCACAGCTGTTTACAAAATGCACTTGCATTTTGAGCAAATTATTAATCTTAGCTTTTTCTTAACTCTGTATGAAAAAGCTTTGCTAATAAGTCAGCTGCTTGCATTTGGGTGATCTTAAAAGTGCTTGCCATCCCTGTCAGAATTCCTTGCACAAACTATTTTATACAATAGTGATGTTCACGTTAGATATATTGTGTGGTGTCAAAGACCCACAAGGAGTTTAATGTGTCAGTAGAAAACACAGTCACTTAATATTTGCTTTTCAAGGCCAGATTGCCTTGAATCTTCTTGAAAAGCTTCAAAACTCTTCAATCTTAGGGGATTGTTGGAAGACAAGGACCTCAATACAGGAAACTCTCAGATACCGTGAATCATCTGTTCTGCCTACATGTCGCATTTGTTTTGCTTTTGCTGAATTTCACATAATGTACACATAACGTAAGGTTTAACACTTGCTTATTTGTTTCTATGACAAACTCTGAAATGCTGTTGAACAAGATCACACAGGAACAAGTCCCCACCAAGGTACACAGGAACTATGCTGAATACAAGAAATGCAAGCTCACATACTCCACACACTGTTTCATGCCAATTATTGCATACTGCTATATAAAAAATATTAACCTCACGACATATTTACTCTGAAAATGAATACTGGCACACCCAGTTCATACTGCAGCTGGAACTGTTTATTGTAGCACATTTACAATGTTTAAACATTCAGAAAGAACATGTTTAGTGTCCTCCACTTTTGTGCACAGCATTATACATTATCACACACCACTACAGGAATGTTGCTCACAAATGTAAGTTATCTAAAATATGCTTCCCTTTGGTTTTCTTTTCTGCTCCCAGAGTGAATGGACTACAGAAAATAAGGCATCCATTAAATGGTATCACAATCAACAATGTCCATAAACTAAGTTGTGAAAACTGAACTTTTATAAGATCTAATGTCTAAGACAGCAACCAGCAGTACCAGGTTATTAGATTGGTAGGAAACATCCCATTTCTAAAGCATGGAGAGATATGACTCTCAGAAACCTATCTTCTGTGTATTTAAATTAGTTTAGACTTCAGGTTTACAGACTTGTGTACCAGAGGAAGATATCAAATTAAAAAAAATAGATATTTTGAAAGTGCTTTTGTCTGACTTTTCCTTTAAAAATGTAAAGTCAGCACACTGTGAAGCTGAAGACTGTAACTGATCCTACCCAGCTCTGGGTATAGGAGAACATCCATATTTCTCCCCTCAACTCGCCCCTCAAGCTTCAGTTCTGGCCTGTCATACCTCTGGCCTCTCTGCAAAGAGGCTGCTATTTACATCAAGTGGTACTTATGCTCATAAAAATACCTGGTTTATGCTCTCAGTTGTATTTGAATGGGTTGTGCATCTATTCGCTGTAATGTCTCCAGAACCAAATTATACCAAACTTTATAGCTTTCATTTATTTGTACTATGACTGCAGATAAGCAAAAGATGCTGAGAGCTCTAGAGTGAGCTTTCATTCATTCAGTGATGGGTCAGCCATAGCCAGATAAAGCCTGCAGTACTGAGGGCTAAGTTGATGTTCAAAGTTACGGTTGTCTAGCACTATTTTTACTTGCTCTTGAAAGTTAGTGCATTTCTAGTCTACTCACATAATCTAGCCAAGTCTCTGAACACAAGACAGCTTTTTAATGCCCTCTGCACAATTTAACTGAGGAAACAAATAGAACAAAGCTAATAAAAAAAACAACCCCCCAAACCCCTGAACTAGTAATGAGAGTGCCTAATCAGAAAGTTTACCATAAGCTTCTGCCACAGGCTTACACTGTTTTTTGAGAAGAGCAAATTCAGGCTTTAGGTATAAGGTTTTCCACAAGCTCCACGTTACAGTTCTTGCAATATGTGCTCCTCTAAAGGCTCCATGATACGTTCCCACAATCCACTACATATGTTCACTACAACCTGTACAGGAGAGGGGGAAAGGTTGTCAGGTACATGCATCAAAATAACAATTTCATTGTACAAAAGACCTTAAAAATAATTCTGAACTATTTAATTACTAATTTGACATACCCTGATCAGAAACTGCTATGAATCACCATAAAACATTTTGAACATGTGAAAGAACTGAGCCTTGTATGTCCTGTAGGACCATATGACTAATTAAGGAGCAGAAGCCATAATAAAACATCAAGATACATACTTTTTTCTACAGATCATTTGTTTTAAAGTCAAACCAGACTGCCACAATAATAGAGCTAATGGAGCAATGTCCAGTATTTGCAGGCAACTGCAAAGTCAGCCCCTGATCTAGCTTCTAGAGAAAGAAACACACTATTTCCAGACAAAAAAACAGTCTGTAACGTTAGTGTGTGTGGTGTGAAGCATGCATGTGGATCAAGACATTTGGCACCAGGATAAAACAACTGAAGAGCAGGTAACCCATTTAGGAAACAAGGCTCTGAAATGCGGCACTTAAATGCCTGCAGCTCTGAGCCCACAGCCTGCAGCTGCTGGATGCCCAGTACTCCTGAAGAACAAGTTGCTTGAGAGTACCCAAGTTTTCCTTTTTGAATGCTCATCTAGAGGTCTATTCCCTGCCTTACAGTCAGTGGGAAAAGTACATCCCCACCCTGTCCTGCCTCATATTGGGTTTCTTGCCTGGTTAAACTGAGCTGTGTGCAGAAAAGGAAATATTAACATGTCTGTGCCCTTTACCCAGGAGCAAGATGCCCTGCTCTTCTTCATCACACACTTTCATCTCCAGTAAGGCTCTGTTTTCTCCCTGTTCTGAAATATATCCCCATCTCCTCCCCTTCATGAATATAACCTATGTGGCATATAGCAACAGAGCACACCAGAAAAGCCCAGTACCAAGGAGCTGCAAATGTCTTTGATCTTTTTAACCAAGCTGCAAATATTTTAAGGCTCCCCCGCCAAAGGACCATTCAACAAGCAAAACTCAAGAGTTGCTGCCAGCCAGGTTAAATATAAACCACGTATCCTGCAATCAGTATTCCTGAAGAAACAAAGCTTCAGATAACTGAAGCATTAAGCTCTCCATAGCGGAAGTTAGGCAATGCTTTTCCAGGTGCTATAATACCATCTTAAACTGCATGCTGTCCTAAAATCTTGGCAAGCTTTTCTCCCTAAGTTTCAGGCCCACTACCATTTAAGTTAGGACACCTTACTGCACAAAGCATCATTAAAAAAGTGGGTAAGAAGACACTGAACGAGTCCTGTCTATTGCAGTGAGTACAGGCAATGTTAATGCTTGCACATTATACATACGGGGTTCCCAAGCTACTGCATACACTGTCTAACTTTCTGTACTGTTTTTCATATTAAGCGATCCTTAATTTACAAGTTTCCTCACCTCTCCTAAGGAGTTTTTTGGCTGTGGACATTCTGCTAAAGTGCTCCATTCTGAAGTTTTAGAACTAGTTTAGGAATTTTATGTTAGGGGGATGGAGGGTTTCCCCTCCACCCACAAAAAAAATTAAGTGCTCTTCATAAATATTATAACAGGGACATGTTGTGGCATGCTGCCTTTGCATATACCTTAATGTATAATTTTAATACAGGTACATACCATTACAGCAACAGAAGAGGGATGCAGAGCTCTCCTCCTCTAACCTGTACCTGCCAGAGTTTGGCAAGTCTTTGCACTGTGATATAAATCTCTGAAGTTCTGTCTCTGGAAAGCCATCTTGCTGGTAGTGCTAGAAATTGATACTTAGTTAAACCTTTGACAAGGCTAAAACATAAAATAACCCAAATCCTCCCCAGACCGCTTTTCAGACATTGTTCAAGTCTGAAATTAGAAGATTAACAGAACTAAATATGAAATTACTGCTTTTTAGTAGGTATTTCGCTTCCATTGGAGCTGGAAATCAGATAGACTTGTAAGAAAACTGAAGGAGGAAAAGATTGCAAGCCTCTCATCATCACTCTACACCCTCTAAAGCAGCCATTATATTTATCTTTTATATTGGCATGCAGTGCAAGTCACAATATTGAGGGGGGTGAGAGTCTTGATAGCACCAATCTTTCATTTTTATTCCAAACAAAGAGTCCATGCTTACCTTGACAGTTTCATATGTATCTGTAATGAGTGCAATGAAGAGACTCAGCACCATATAGATGAACAGACTGATGAAAGAGTAGAGGTAGATCCTACTGAATAACCAAACCAAGTAACTTTTCTGCTGCATTTTTGCAAAGGTAGCAAACATGTCATCTCCATTGATCAGTGAAAAAAGACATTCAGAAACCATGTTCAGAGAGCGAAACTAGAGGAGAGGGAAGAAGACAAGTACATCCATCACTGCTTTATTTGGATCCAAAGGCTGTACACAGCGTGAAAAAAAATGCACAGCTGATGACCTGTTGCCTTGGATCTCTTTGTACACTCAAGAGTATGACAAGGTGCAAACAGTAAAACATTTGATGAGTGAGCAACGTTTGGCACCTCCTGCACACATACACATTCAATTCAGATAAGCCGATTTCACTTTTAAAAGGGACAAGGACAAAGTCTCCAAAGCTTAAGTCCAACACTGGTGTTCTGCAATATGAAAATTATTTCTCAAAATACCAGCACATGATTGGGAGTCACAGCAGCTTCCACTTCTGACTCAGAGCTTTCATAACTCAAGGAAAGTCTGATTGAGTCATGGAAGTCAGACTCCTCAAACAGAGCAACATCATGTTGAGGATGCACTATTTTTATATTAAGGGAAGCCTTGACATGGAAACTTAGAAGACAACAGCAGTAATCTCTCATTTGTTTGGAATCCATTCTGTTATTCGAGTTGACTTGTTTCATGGGAAGTATATTACCTTCACATGGTACGGTCCCAGCACAATCCATCCACAGAAACAGTAGCCCAAGTAGATCATAGCAGCACAACAGCAGAACCTCATTACATTGGGTAATGCTGCTCGCAGTGTTAGGATGAGAAGCTGCACAGAGCAATGCAAACAGTTAGAATTCAATCAGGCATTTCTTCCAGCCCTCTTATAGCAACAAACAGAATAAATACCAACAGCACGAAGATCCCAGAAGATCCTTACATTATACTTCTGAAAGAAACCTAGGTAGCGAATGACTCCAAGCCACACAAGCATAGTCGATGTTCCGAGAAGTATGCTACACACATCGTAACTTGTCAGACTCTAAAACAAAAAAAAAAAAGGGGAAATAAATAAAATATATATATCAAGTATTATAACAACTAAATTTAGAACAACAGGTTCTAAATTGCAACTCTCGTTACTACAAAGATCTGTTAAGAAAGATAGTTTATCTTAGCAACCTCTCCCATTAAAATTTAGTTTGGGGCAATATGCATTAGACAGCTGAAGTCCCACCAGAGAGGAAGGGCACTTTCAAGTGTAACTCATTTCCCATGCCTTTACATATATGGCTGTTTGCAAAACAGATCCTGACAAGACAAGCTTCATTTGCAAGGCCAACAGCACAGCAGCATGGTGGGTGCAGAGGCACCCCCTCTGTACATGGCTCACTAAGACCTGCAGAGTGGCACTGCAAACATTTTTATGCTGCTTCCAGGCCTCCAGTAACTGCTTCTGGAATCTGCATTGGCAGATTCCCCAGAGCAGCTTGGGAATCTCTCCACTGTATCCCAATGGACAGTGTAGATATGACTTTAGAACAGCAGAACATTGAAGGTTCTTCCAGTATGCAGGCAAAGCAGTTTGTAAGAAATAGCATGACTTGTCACCAGAGCTCAGGTAAGTACTAAGGAAGACCTTGTGAGGTAGCTAGGAACTGTGAGGCATAGACAGTTTCAAGGAGAAGACTAATCAGCTTCTAATTAATTCTAACCAGGCCTTCATTTATATTTTATTGGCTCTTCATTACCTTTTTCCACCTATACATACTGGCTGTTTTGTCCAAGTTAGCATATACCCTGTTCCCTGAATTGCAGCTCTACTCTGAAATGGTTCATGACAACTTACTGAGTAAGAATTTTTCTTTATTTTACGGTTTTAGTCTTCTAAGAGTTTTCTAATTTTTTATATTACTATAATTCATTTACAGCTTGACAAAACACAAATTTAGGCTACTTTAATGTGAACTTACTATTCAGCCACTAAATAACATGGAACAAGATCTTGTTATTATGGTCTGCAAGGCTTGCAAAATGAAGGGAAATGTACTTCATTAGAGAAGAGTTTTAGTAAAATACTCTCTTAGAACAGAAACATATAGAAAGAGATGTATTTATAAGATACTGGAATCCCAAATACAAGATCTTACTCCAACCATGTTCTTGTCTTCACTTCTCTTGAAGCAGGATGAAGCTATCTCTTAGCCAAGTTCCTCACAGCTTCTTCCTACTTAACAACTGAGTTTATAGTTCCTAAGGTAAGATAGGGCAGTTTGTACAGGGCATTTAGGATAGTAAAGCTGTCACCAGATGGATTTCAGGTCCATCCTTTCACCACTACTGTCCAAAGTCTGCTGTGTTGCAATGTCACACTTCAAAGTCTGCTAGAGATTTGGTGAACAACAACATTAGCTAAATATTAGAGTGCTTCAGGATTTATTTTAATAATTTTTCTTCCCTAATTCTGGTTCATATAATATGTTTTTAAAAGTTGGCCTTTTTTTTTTCATTATCAAGTTTATCTTAGATATTTTAGGCCTAGCTCCTGGCTGTGGCTGACTGTTCTGTACATGCTGAAAAACAGAAGCTGGGAAAGCAGCAAAGTGATGTTTAAGGAGAGAGTCTCTGTGCTGGTTAAACACTTGTTAAATAGGGAACAGAAAGTTAAATGCTAAATTAAAATAAAATAAATACATCATCAAATTAGCAAATATAAGTGGTCCTAAATGGAGAAGAGAGAAAGTCGTCTCAGACTTCCAGAGATTAAGTTAATTTTATTCCTTGGTGTCACAAAGAAGCAAAGGTAATTAAAACTAAAATATCTAGAGATAATCAGAGTTTTTTTTTAATCTCTCAATTGGAAACAACACATACCAGTTACAATTGCAGAGGAGAAGATGGGATTTTAAAACTTCATGCCACTACAGGACGAAGCTTAGCCAGCCTAAAGTCCTCTGACAGATTTAAACCTAACTGGGAGAGTGACAATCAGTTTTGCTTCTACCTGACGGTGTAAAAAACTCACCTTGGCTTGTATCTCCATCTTCAGAGTTGATCCAACAAAAGTTAAGACATCACTGACCATAATCATGATGTACCACCCATTGACAAATTCCATTTGATCACTGAAAGATACTTCTTTCTTATAATAATATAGGAAAAAGCTTACAAATTCCTAGGGGAAAAGAGGAAAGAAAAAGGTAAATCAGACTTACACAAGACATGAAGGCTTTCCAAGGAAAGACTTATACCCACCCTTTGGAGCTGAATTCCTTTAACCACTGATCGTGTGCAAAGGATTAGTGAAGCCAGACAAGTCAATATAACAAAAGCATCAAAGATCATCATGTAATGAGTGTTCTTCTGTACTGCAAGAACAAAAATGTACATATATATTCATAGTCAGATGCATTTCATCTTGTTGATCATCTTGAATATTGAAACAAGAATCAAGTTTCGATGTTGACTTTATTTATACAATTTAATTAAGAAAAATGTTAACATTTTTCCCCCAGAAGTTTATCTATCTGACGTATTTTCATGAGACACAAGTGCATCTGCACCATGGATACCACCACTTCCGTTAATTTAGGAAGGCTGATACCACATCAAAAATATACCAGAGAGAGTGCTTCTTACAGCGCGGCAGAATTTGAGGTGGGAGTTGTCCGTTTTACGATCACTGGAATGGCCTCTGGAGTGACAGAATGTGTCAAAAAAATATCCCAGGAACTATGTATCTTCTCTTCCAGACGAGTACTTGACTATCAGGTGGGTTTTCTGTCCTAGAGCAGCGCAGATAATTTGCACTGCTGCCCAGCTGGCCAAGACCAGCACTGAGCTAGACTTCAGTTCTCCATCTCTTATGTTACTAAAATTCACAGTCTTGATAAACTAAGGTAGAGCTGGCACAAAATTTGACAGCTAGACCCCCTTTTTTATGCCTATCATATTGCTGAAGCTTAATGAGACGATATATTTACATTTTTAATGCTAAAGAGTGATTGAGAAAAACAACTGAAATAAATTCAAGCTAAATTTTCAAGACATAGCAATTCTCCAAAATGCTGTACTGAAGTTCTAGTTGACTTCACAAACTGCACTACTCAGAAAAAGCACACCTTTTTGCTTATACCAGAGTCACTAACACATGTACCGTTGCCATTTCAACTGGGTTTGCAGTGTAGTCCAGAATAGCAACAACTTGTTATTGTCCTACTGTAATCATTACCTTTGTATTCGTCCTTGGCTTTCAGAAAATAATACAGGGTACTCCAGGAGATGATTTTGAAAACTGTTATAGAGGCAATCTACACAGGTATCAGATGTGGATTATTACAGAAGCCTGGTATCAAAACCTTCTTGCGCTGCTGCACTAGCAATCTTTTGGAGGTAGCATGCCATCTGGTGTGCATTTGTAACACGGCAACTAGCAAGTTACTGTGTAGTGAAACATGCATTTGCCAAAGTGGAGTGTTTCGTACTCTGTAATGCATTTCATTAAATTCCTCCAAATTTATTGCAATCCGGATCTTTAAAATAAAAGCCCAAAACTTCTCTTTTTCACTACCAGCTTTTAATTTCCATATGTAGGCACAGCAAAAGGGAAAGCGGCCAAGTAGAAAAATGGACCTGATTCATCCTATTGCTTAACTCAGCAAAAAATAAAAAAAAATAAATGGAATTTAAAGTCTTGAAAAGCTTCTGACTTTCAAAGAGATTATTTTCTCTAATCAAAAAAGATCTCAGGCAATGTTTTGACCAGACCCAATAGGTGCCAACAAGGGGTACTCTTGTGAGTAACTATTTAACATAATTTAGCCACACTGTGCATTTCTGTACACCAAAATACAAGCCAAACAACATTTCAGCACCAGTAGAAGTGTTTCTAGCCATTCCACTCTAGCAAGCCTTATCAACAGCACTTCCTTATCTTTCCTGGTGCTACGTCCTGAAATACGAATCGGTTTCTACTTTCCAACACTATCATGTGTCCTTCTGTTGCCTAGTGCTAGAACGGTTCACAGCCTACCTTAAGCAATGAAGAGCATAAGTTCAGTAGCCAAAGCTAGAAGGATTCACAGTGAGGTGTATCACTGGTTTGACACTATCAATCTAAGGTGCAAGGCTGGAGAACTGCTAAGGAAAGTAATGGTGTGGCTGGTTCCCAGGGTTTCAGATCAGAGGTTGAAGAACAATACCTTAGAAAATCAGGATTTAGAGCCAAGCCACTAGGGAATGTATGCGAAGAGTGCCTCATCTTTTAACAAAGGAAGAGTTTAACAAACATTGTGCTAGTGTGGCGAAAATTTAACATGAAAATTTGAATGTATTTATGTCACTTACTTGATCCAGAAACATGCCAGTCTTTACATTCCCTGATCTCTATGTCATTGTCTAGACTTATTTTGATTCTTCCACTGTGTGCTTTGTTATCAAACACTATCTGTATTAACAAAACAAACAAACAAACAAAAAAGTGTATGTCTTTTTAAAGTCAAACCATTACAAACGTAGCACACTGTAAGCTAAGCCTGCATAATGATTCAGAATAATCCTCCTAGGGAAGAAGTTACAAAATGTATTCAAGCCTAATGCAATTCCAGTTTATTCAAATAAATGCTGTCAAAGTGAAAAACAAACCTGGTGAACAATATATTTGCCATAAATTGCTTGATCAACTAGATACTAAATGAAATTCTTTTAAACTACAGCCTCATTCCTCTGTGATCTGAAAACAACCTTATATAGAAGCATCTCTCTAAAGAGAAGAGGTTTATGCTTTCATTATACTTCAAATGGACTAGAGCACAAAAGGCTGTAAGGCAAACAAGTGTTTCAGGACCACATCATGAACACTCAAAGCTTAACTTCGCACAGTGACAACCAGCAGTATTTACAGGGTACACTAACCCATGACAGAGTAATCCAGACACCAGTGTGGACCAGTCAGTGGTGCCCAACACTTCAGAAAGCACCTGCACAGACTGTGTATGGTAAATCAGCAGGAATGATTTCTCATTTTGAATAGAAAGACACGTGGCAGGTTTCCACCTACCCTTAGAGTGAAATCGTAACAGTCAGGGAGCTCGTGGTGACGAACAGTCTGGAGGTTGACTGCCTTCAGATTGAACTTGAGCTGCACCATCACCAGTCTGCAATAGAGCTCCGTATTAGCTTTTCACAGGGAAAATGCACAAATACCCCAATACAGGAGGTGCTATTTCCCCCTCACCTGTGGAAATCCAGAGTGAAATTCAAATTGTGCTTTCCCACTGTTGTGTTGTCTGATGGTATCATTGGCTCAACATACAAGCAGTCTGCAATGGATAAGGACTCACAACAACATCTCATGGGTTATCATGCTCTTTTAACTGTAATCTGCCATTCCTACTCCCGAGGCTGTAAAGAGCTGATGACTATAGCAGACAAGATAGCATGCTTAAGTGAGGGGTCATTTAGGAAGCCAGTTGACAAATACGTTGGCTTCCCTGACCACTAGCCAAGTTATTAATCATGAATTCACAGGGACTGCTCCTGAAATTAGCCCAAAATACTTGTGTTAGGTGGCTCATCACTCGGTCTGTGGCAGTAGACTAAAAGACCGTTACCTTGGAGGGCTAGAGGTTAGTTACACAGTAGTTTTCTTACCAGTTTTGGCTGGTAATAAGTTCAATACAGATCATGTGATAGAACTATACAGTACTGTGAGGGGGTTTTAAGAATTTATCATAAATGTAGGGTCCCCCCTCCCAAAGAACTGATAGAACAGATGAGGTTCATCACCAGTCACAATCTCTGGGTCTATATCAAAGGTGTCATTTCCAGGAGAGATGATTCCTCGTTTGTAGAACTGCTGACAGAGGGCCAGAGCTGTCTCTTCTGCTCCCTTCTTCTCATAAGCATGGTTTCCAACAGAGATGTTGGGCAGCTGTAAGTACTAAAGTTCAGAACAAACAGACAAACCAACTTAGATGGCACCAAAACTGTTAGTCTGAAAAAACCCAGCCAACCAGAAAACAACCCAGAAGTGTTTGGATCTGTGCCATAACCCATCTTTTTTATTTAAAATGAAAAAAGAACTTGGAAACCTACACCACACTACAGCTGAGTTCTCAAATACTTCAAGATATTTGACCAAAAAAGTAAGTGCAGGATTTTGATCTAGATACCTTTTTGCTTATTACTTTTTTCTCTTCTCCTTACTAGAAAGTCTAATTTGATACTTGCAAAGAACTCTGGCACAAATCCAAGGACTGCATATTTAGTGCAGAAGTAGTATGCTGATTAGCTTTAAGAATGTTGCCACAGTACAATGCTCTGGCAGTGACAGAAAACCTAAATGAGTCAACACTCTAATCTTAAGCAACAGGCACAGAAGTTGTTTCAGGCACCATCAGGGAAGGTGGAAGAAGGAAAGGTACCCAGGTAAAGAGCATATATATAGCATATATTGCAGCAATAGTCCTTACCTGGTTTATTGCAAAGAATATCTGGTCATAGACATCTGTTTGTGTGTATACAGCATAGGTATCATCCATTCTGTCCATGTATCCTTTCAAGAAGAGATGTTTGAATGCAACAGTGTTCTCTTCTTTGAAGGCAACCACCATTTGATTGCTCAGTCCAAAAACCACCAGCTGAAAAAGACATTTATATTTCCTGTTCAAAGACAAAGTTGGCTTCTGGATTAGCATATGAATTCTGTCCTACAAACAGCCACTCTTTTGTCACGCTGGTAGAAACGGCAGTTACACGCAGACTACTCCATTTCACAGACGGTCAAAAGAAAGTTTGACCTTAAGGAAACAATGGGTTTCCAGAATGTCCCTTTAACACATTTACCAGCATCTTGGCCAAGGACTCGCATTTTTACAAAGAAAAGGATACCATCTCAAATTCAAGCTACCTATATACTGTTACATGTGCTTTGTTAGTTCAGCCTGACATTAATACAACTTGCCTTGGGGAATATCAGTGTTCTTCAGGCAAAAAGGCAGGACAGGACTTAGCCAGACCCTGCTTTGAAGTCCTTACTCCAGCACACAAAAAGCAAATTGAGGACAGAAAACCAAGTATTTCTTCCTCATGTTTCAGGAAAGGTGCTTTGAGAATAACCAATCAAAACTGTGCTTGTAACAGCCTAACCTCTGACAAACTAATATAACAAATATACTCCAACAAATAATAGCATAAACCCCTGCTTGCTACTATCCAGATTGGAAAAGTTTTCTAGAAGAATATGATATATTGTTTGTGGGAGCTCACAATTTTCTTCAGTGACTTATTGTTTCAAATCTAGTGCCAAGAGCATTGTGAAGAAACTCATCAGAGATAAGTCCGAATCAGTAGTCTACAGATAAGTTTTACGGTCGTGATGCAAACTGGATATGTAGATTTTGATAAGGATAACTCAGTTAGAGAGATACTAAAATGCTCTGTGGGCAAGCTCCATGTGCTGGGCACAAGGAATACACCAGCAAATCAACAGTGCTAAGACTGAATTACCTACAGGCCGTTTCTTTTTCTGAAAAGGCTAAATCAGCACTGGTTTCTTTCTTATTTAGGTTCTCCCACCATCAAATTTTATTTCTAGTTGCAAAATGAGACAGATGACAAGGAGAGGATGATGATACATTTAAAACTGAAGCAGAAAGGAAGGGATACAAACACAACGCCAGATGTATAGCAAGAGAACTATTATTTCTGCAGTTTGTCACATCAGTCACGCAACCATGGAAAACATTCTTCACTATACTTGTATTGTCATGGCACCAACACCACCATAAAGGTAAATCACATGCAGAAAAGTCTGAAGGATCATCATTTCAGGCACTGGAGAGGCTTTGTGAAAGATCTTCTTCCTCCTTAACCACAAAACTTTGAGACAAACTGTTGCCTTTTGTGCAGCAGATAAATGTGTTGACATCTATGGTGCAAGGCTGAGTGACAGGAAGACTGGAGCAGAATTTCTGTTTTTTTTTTCAATACAAGAGTTTGTATACCATACAAAAGATACAAGCAAACATGGTGAAAAAGCCACCCGTTTCAGTTCTTATAACCGTGACATTGAAACTTGAACAACTGTTCCTTCCCTCAGACACTCGCAGGGAAGAAGTTATTGGGGGAATAGACACCATCCTTTAGGGGAAGAAAAAAAAAGTAATGTAAGAAGTCAAGCTAAGCACTTAAACATGGTTCCTTTCATCTCTACTCTTAGGAAAGCTATTTTTTCAGTCAATAGTTTTAGGAGAAAATTATGACATAGAATCATTAAACCATAGAATCACAGGATAGTTAGGGTTGGAAAGGACCTTAAGATAGTCTAGTTTCAACCTCCCTGCCATGGGTAGGGATGCCTCACACTAGACCTAAGCTACATATATGCAACTAAGACAGTTTTGCAGTCTATCTTCTCCCTTTCTCTGCACCACGCCACAAACAGCATTTGTCACCGGCACGCGTTTGACTTCCCATGAGGTAAGAAGAGTCCCTGCTCCCACAGTTACTCACCTGAACAGTAACCATTGCTATTTTGAGTAGCTGAATCCCAAGTTTCCAAGGTTTCCTGCCCCGGGCCCAGAATTTCTCACATGGGTTCATGAAGAAGAATTTTAATTTCCTTCTAAGCTGGTCTTCCAAAAGTCCCTCCTGTGATATTGACAGGTGTCGTTTGTAACTGCAAAGGTTTTCATCATCATGAGCACTGCAGCTGCTCACAGCCACTTCAGGATTTTCCATTTCTGAAATGAAGAGAAGCTCATGTCAGTCAGAAAACAGGCAAGCATGAATACAGTAGCATCAGATCAGTCTGCACTGACAACTGGATCCAAAGATGTGTACCTTCTGTGAAACGCACTTGAACATAGCACTGAATTTAAGACCTTCTTCATAATATTGCACATGTTCTGCAGATCCCTAAGAAAAGTTTGGCAAGCTCTTAAATTGCAGATAGACTGTCAGGACGCTTATTTGATAGTGGAATTTCTGTCCCTTTGGAATTACAGAGTCACTTGCTAAAAACTTGCTTCCTCTCTTACTTGCCACCATCATCATATATGCAAGACATCCTGACTCACTTCCTTCTGTGTCCAGAAGAGTACCAAAAGCCTCTCATGAGCATTCAGTTTTCTGGAAAACTTACCTATTTCTGTAGCTAGTATTTCCCCCATCTCCAAGCCCACTGTCCAGCCCTTGAAGGAAATGGAATTTCCAAGACAGGCAGCATTTTTCTTTGACATTAGTATTAGCACTCTTGGAAATGGGGACCCAGCATGCAAAATTGCAGTTCAGATAAATTACCTGAGTGCATCAACTTGTCATTTAGCAAGATTATGTCTATTTCTTCAACCATAAAAGACTGAGTGCAAAGCAGTGGTGCTCATGAAGCAGACAAAAAGACCAAAAGGTGATTGTATCCAAGCATCGTGATTAGCTGAAGAGGCTCATGGTTTAGATGAGTTTGAGGGGAAAGATTGGAAGAGAACCTATAAACACAGTTTGAGATGTTACTCTCCATAGTATTCAACATGTTTAGATGTTCATCTGTTATTAACTTCACTGACTCCCATTTTATAAATGTTTTATAAAGTACTTAACAGGTAGCCGGGAATGTTTATTTCAGATAAAAGATTCCTGACATTAAGAACAGAGGAGACAGCCTAGGTCGTGAATGAATTTAGACATGTGCTATATTGGACAAATCATTTTCAATTTGCATAAAGAAAGTTTCTCATAGAATTTAAACAACAAATCATCACCAAGATAAATTTTTAAAAACACACAGATCACATCCCCTCTCCTCCAGCAGCCATTGCACACGCCGGAACACGAGGCTGCTTTCAGATACGATTCAAGACCTTGAACTTCCCCAGATGTCAGAGAGGGCAAGAAAAGTTCTGAATCAGCAGTTTAACACTAAGAACAGGCCCATAAAAGCAGGCTTAAGATAAATAAAAAGAAAAAATCAGCTCCTGTTTTGCCAGGTCGCCATTGTCCCGCAGGATACAGCATGCCACCGTTCCCACTCGTCTTTCTTACCGCTGATCATTTCCAAGTGAAGCCCTACTCTGATACTGCAATATTCCTGACAAAGTACGTGCTTGATTTACAAATAAACACATAGATAAATACATAAATAATACTTCTTGACCTCACGGTACCGGCTGGAGTTGATGTCCCACGCAAACACAACGCACAGTGTTAGGCGGAGGCAGCCCGGGCCCCGCAGCGGAGGTACCGCAGCGGCAGCGCCCGAACCCGGCGGCCCCTTTCCCCCCGCCCCGTCGCCGCAGCGCAGCCCGTGCCGTGCCCCCGCCGCTCCCCCGAGCCGCCACGGACGGCTGAGCAACGCACTTGGAGCCAGCCGGGACTCGCTCAGCCTGTCAGGTCGCGCCGCCGCCGGTCACCGGCGATTCCCCGGCAGCAGCCGCCTCCGGCCTCTCCCGCAGTCCCGGCCACGCGGGCCCGGCGGGCGCTGATTTACCGGGGCATCCCAAAGCCAAGAGCTGGAGGCCGAGGGCACTGCTTCGCGCTTTTAAAGGAGAGGCTGCGGCGTACAGCGCACGGCGTACAGCCCAGGGCATACCGCATACCTGCCGCTGGGGCGTGCCGCTGCCGGCGAGGTCCCGCCGCTCCCTGCCCTGCTGTCGCGCAGGCAGCGAGACCGGGGCTGCTGGTGCCGCGGAGCGGAGCGGCCGTCACACACACCCCGCCGCTACCGGTCCCGCTCCCTGTCCCCGTCCCCCTCTCTCCCGGCCGGCGCGGCTCCAAGGCGGGCAGGTCTGGGGTCTTCGGCGGCCTCCGCCAGCCCGTCCCAGCCCCGGGGGCAGGGCTGGGCGCGCAGAGCGTCTGTCACCTTCTGCTTCACATCTCCGCGAGTGAGGGCTCCCCACGGGACATAAACTCTCTGAAGTATGCCGCCGTAATGCCGCCTCCAGATTTATTAACCTGGGCTTCTGCACCAGGAGGAAAAAAAGGTAACGCTTACATTATCGTTAGTTGTGCCCCATCTGTAATAGAAATCCCTTTTCGGGTCACAGAACTGTAGTTACAAAGAGCAGCCAGCGGCACAGTGAGCGAAGTGGAATGACTGACGTGCTTGAGTTATTGCACTTACATGCAATTAAGGGATTAAAGTTATTAACTGGACTTCAAGGAAACGGTCTCCTGTCCTGGGTCTCGGCCACTTTCACCGCACCGTGGACACGGTCCCCTCGGTGTTGCTGCCTGGCGGGGGCAGTGCCCGGTGTAAAGCCCGGTTACGGTAGCTGCGCCCGGTCACCAGCTGCCCAGCTGCACCAGCTGCAGGAACCTGTGAGAGCGCTGGTGTGAGAGGAAGAGGGGAAATAAGGACAAGGCTAAACCAAAAAGAGCGGGCATTTTAAGAGAGCTGTAGAGACAGGCATGGCAGGCAGCAAGGATTCTTTCTGTCTGCCGTAAGGAGGGTGGATGGTCCCTGCGTGCCACCAGGAACGAGCACTGGGTACTCCACAGAGAAATCAGAGAAATACACTTCGGAGCTCCTGCGTTTTACATCGCAGCAAAGCAGACTAAATTATTTTTATGCGTCAAAAATATGAAAGCTGTGGAACACAAATCTTCATATTACCGAATCGCATGGGACCACCTGAACCTCCTTCCCGGCCGGGGAAGTTCCCCTGGCAGCTAATGGCGAGGAGGCGCCGGGCGGCCCTGACAACGGCGCGGCGGCAGGGACTCTTTGGGGCCGGGCTGGCGGTGCCGCGCAGGTAGGAAGCGGCCCCGCGGCGCCGGTGGGAGCGGGTGAAAAATGAGAGGCCTGAGGACACGGGCAGCAGCTGGCAGGGAATCACCGCTGGGCCGGGCCGAGGCTGCGGCGAGGAGCCCGCGGCCTGCTCCGTGAGATCGAGGCTGCCTCAGCCGCCCGCGTTCATCGCGCAACCGGCCAGCGGGCTCCGCGCCTTCCTCCGCCCCTCGGCCTTCGGGAGGGGAAGGGCTCCCGGCAGGCCCTCGGGGTGGCTGTGCCACAGGCTGGAGGGTGCTGGTGAGGAGAGGGGTTGCAAACACCCCCCGACCCCTGAGCTGCTGCACATGACAGTCAAATTCACACGCACCAGTCCAGTGTCCAGTACGAGCTTGTCCTCCAGCAACCACCGGAGGTTCTGTCTGGGCCAGTAAGGGCAAGATCATAATAAAGCCATACTTCCATTTTCACACCTTTTTTTCTTCTTGCATTTATGGCTTCATTTCAATAGCCAGAGGTATCATCATTGTTCCATCATCTGTCAATTCACCCTGTTTGAAATCGTGTGCTTTTGGCTGCTATCCTGTCCACGGGCAGTATGTCCATAACTGAACTATCTATTGTGCAATGAAACACTTCTGTACTCCTTTTGTTTGTTTTCAGTCTGTCCCTTGGTAAGCTCATGTGATGCCAGCTAGATCTTGTATTACAAAAGAGGGTGAATAATCACCCCCTGCTCACTTTCTCCATGCCTCTCATGATTTTATTGACTTCTATCATAGCCTCTTTAGTCCAGGCTACAAAGAATTCTAGTTTATTCCCAGTATAAAACATATCTTCAATATTCCATGTTATATCCTTTCCAATTCTATTTCTTATTTCATGAGAGAAACATAACACAGTATTATCCAATGTTTTAATGAAGTTCTCAGTTTTGCTGTCTATGTCTTTCTTATTAATTCTTAACCTAATTTTACATTAACATTCACATACTTATCATCCCAGAGCCTGTAACTACCTCTACTACTTTCTATCAAATAACAAAATCTACACCTGGTTCAAGTAGGCCTGATTTTATGAGAAGTTGTACCTGTGAAATCAGGTACATTCAAATAGAACCATTCATATGCTGAAATGATTTGGCAGTTGCCAAAACTTCAGCTTTACTCTCTAAATCTTATACAATGAAGTTGTGTCCAAATATGCACAAGAATTATTCATAACACAAACTTTAGGTATTTGTATTATTTGGTCTTTGTGTAGAGCAAAGTAGAATAAATGTAATTAAAGTGAACACTGTATATGAACTTCTGGAGAGACTACATCATTCTCATGACAGTACTTTTAACAAGTTCCTGAATGTTTACAGACAGAAATGTGACTTTTAGCTTGACAGTGACACGACAACAAAAAGCAAGTAGCACCTGGTTTTGATAATTTCCTTCTAGTGCTTTTGTTAAATGGAAGGGCTCTCAATTCTTCTGTCATTGCAAATTGTAGTAAATTGCAGTGCTAAATTAGTAATGGACACAGGCTTGACCTTCAACCATTCAATTAGGCAACTAATGAATCATTCTGTGTCCTCACTTAAGACAGCATCTTTTGTGGCACTGAGAGCTAATTCACTTTCCCCTGGTGCAGTACCTAGCAACTTCACGCCTTTGGTTTATAACTAAATGTTTCAGTACACTAAATGATTAGGAGAACACTCTGAGCTTATTTTTTTTCTTGAGACTAATGTTGAAAATATTACAGGCATCTATAAATAAACTAGGCTACAAAATGTCAAAGTTGTCAAACATTTACTTGGGTTTTAACAATTAAATAATGTAACACCGTGTTCCAGTGAAAACTGACTGAAAAATCAGACTGAACATATTTAATGGAATTTTTGACTCCACAGAATCAGAGAATGGTTTAGATTGAAAGCCCACACTTAAAGCTCATCCAGTTCCAACTCCCCTGCCATGGGCAGGGACACCTTCAACTAAACCAGGTGGCTCAAAGCCCTGTCCAGCCTGACCTTGACTTTTAAAAACCTCTATGGCAACTGATTTTCAAGAGCTGGGGGTTTTTTTGGTTGGTTTTTTTTTGGTTGGTTGTTTTTGTTGTTGTTTTGTTGAGGGTTTTGTTTTGTTTTGGGTTTTTTGGTAGGTTTTGTACTAATAAATTAAATTATGTTAATTTAAATGTAATTTCCAACCTCTGTTCTCAGTCATAGAATTATGAATTTACATAAGCATTGATGGAAAAGCATAACACAATTGCACAATTCTGGACAAATATGCATATTAGAGTCCTTTCTAAATAAGTGATAAATATCCCTAAGAGGATAGGAACTAACCACAGATTAAAGAAATTATCTTTTTGTCATATCTTCAGACAGTCCTCTAATACAGACACCTTTTTTTTCATGGTTTTCTTGGTAGGATTTGGTACTTTGTGTAAAAACTTAGGGAGTGAAAAAATACCAAAACCCTGAAGCAAGAGGTAACTTCTGAAAATACCAGCTTTTATCTTACACATTAAGAACCATTAGGATTTTTGTTCCTTTATTTCTGTTTTGAAGAGGAGGAGTGCAAAAGATTGCTTTTCAATAGCTATTTAACGTTCTCAGTGCATGCGGGTTTCCTGCAGTGAGCACCTGTGGGTTAGTAGGTTATTTAATCCTGTATAAAACCCCAGCTTTGCATACATACTTTGTGAACAGCTATGGACTTGGTAGTGCTTCCAGAGAAGTCTTAGAAGTTCTGCCTTTGCTTTCTTTGAAGGCCTTACATGTTTCCTAACCACTGACAATCATATGCCCACAGAATGACAAATGGACAGAGGCGATATGGTGTTAGGGGTATTGTAAAAGGAGATAATTACCTTGTACTTTTCTATCTGTCTGCTTTCCAGTTGGTGAGGTTCTGTGTACCACAGATGGAACCATGAACAGTCCTACCAGTTGCGCTCTTCGTTTGCAATTCTTAGACATCAATACTTTTTGTATTAACGTATGCAGAGTCACCAGTACTGCCCTTAGCTGCATAGTGCTGTGTGTGCCTCTACACCTGATTCTTTCAGTAAAGGAGGAGGAACTGCATTTACTGGGAGACAATTTTCAAATGTTTTAACTGTTTTTATAGGTATAAGATACTTGAAGTCAGTTGAAGGAAAAGGGATGTTTTTACTTGCAAATTATTGTACTAAACATAGGCATGTGACTTATCTCAGCCCTTTGCGTTTCCTCTATTCATGTGACTTATGGTTTAGGTTACTCAGAAGAAAAAAAAAATCAACATTTCCAAATTGGCTTTGTTTCAGCGTATAATTAGGAAATGGTGAAATAAACCAATGTGACAGTAGCATATATGAGATGGTTCATACTGTTCTTCAACTGATTTGTAGAGTAGCTGGCCTCTCCTCCTGTCCTGGAGGACTGTCTCTTTTATCCAGAGGTGTGAAGGTTGATTTCAAATTAGTCACAGAATCCATTTATAAAATGGGTCACAATATTTTTTACATAACATGTACAAGGAGATGGATAAGAAATAGCTTTGCACTTTTATTGTTAAATAAAGGAAAATTAGCCTCTTTTAACCATCTGAATTGACATGCACTCTAAGTTAAGTGTTTCAGTGCTATAAACTATGCATATTTTTCAGTGTAGAGGCTTCTTTGAAAGATTATAACTGGGAAGATATATTGAATATTAAACATAAATATATTGCCAATGTTTGTAGTGTTGTGCCTGACAAAAAGACTGGGAGAACGAGGGCAGAAAAAAACTCCTAACTTTCTTCTTTACATTCACTATACATAACTTGTGAGGGCTTTTTAATCTTCCAAAAACATCATCCCTTACAAGGCAAGAGTTTCATAATTCTGAAACATTAATCTGTTTGGCATTGGCATTATCATTACCTTTTGGAAAAAGTGTAAGATTAAATTGCTAGTTTTTCAGATGGATTAATGAAGGGGCTGTATTTGCAATAATGACTGAACAACAGAGAAATGCAGTAACATTCCATACATGGATGCAGCTTGTCACCTGTGATCTGCATGATTCAGAACAACAGAGAAAAGAGCTTGAGGCTTTATAAGTATATTTTTCTATTTTGATTGGAGTGAAAAAGAAAAATGTATTACTGTAATAAGACTGTCAGACTCTGCTCCCATTAAAGTTAACAGCAAAATTTACCTTGAATTCTTGGGAAGTTAACACAGACCCAAAGACAGGCTATAATCCATGACATTTATCTTGGCCATCAATGGTCATCTCCAAATGAAAATTCAGATTGGAAGCTAAAATTATATTGATTGCCTCTGGAGTATTTGAGAACTGTGTTACAAAACAGAAAATACTGTTTCTCAGTCTGGGAATGACCATCCCAAAGCCAGAATGACCACTGAAATTGCAAATTCACAGGCCATGCCGTGTTTGTTTTAATGCTTACACTGGTTTAGGCCTTTCACTGGGAAGGTCTTAAGATAGAACACTTATTTTATAAACTCACCATTGCATCTTAAAGCATCCTGACAGTAAATGTGCTGTTCACATGTGCAGGCAGACAGGCCATAGCTCCAGTAAGAGTTCATCAGAAATCGTTACGTCATGAGAAAGTTCTTGATGGTGCAGCCTTTTTCTGCCTTATAAGTGTACCTGCTTTCCTCTTGTAAGTGTTAAAATTAGAATAGCATCCAAATACTGTAAGTGCTTTTTAGACATTTAAAGAATAGTTCCTCTCCCAATCCATTTACAGTCTTAAAAAACAGTGGGA